TAAGTACTGTGTATCTCAAAAACCAGAGCTAATAAAAATTTTTCATTGTTATTTTCGTTTTTATCACCCCAAAATTAGTAGAAATTGACTAATTTAGTGTAGGAAACATTCAAAAAATATTTTTTTGTTGTGTTGTGAGATTCAAACTGTTACATATTTGTCAACAATAGTAACAACACGCTCCTCATCAGTTTTCATTTATGGAACGTTTATCAAGAAAACTATCAAAGTCTAGTTTTACATGTATAACTAGCATATTCTCGCAGGTTCTTGTCATCTACATTCACAAAATGCACCAAACATCATAAAAAATATTTTGGAATGGAATCTCGAATCATGCCCATCTCCCAAAGTACCTACACAGTAGGTTCTGGTAAACACCTGTCAAAAAACAAGTTCTTTCCTGCCCCAGTTCAATCAGATTGGATTCTAGCTCCCTTACCCTTGTAGCTGATTTTTGTCAGAAAGAAAAGAAATGGGTTCATAACTAAGAGATGGTGGCGGTATGAAAATCCTCAGAAATCAGTATCGCCCTCCACGGGGTATCCCTACCTGGTTGGGGTGGTATGAGGGGACATGAGGGCCTCATTCGAAAAAGTGTCAAGGCCTTCTATATCGGGAGGGGTCGTCTACAGCATAATCTATAGCTTCCCTAATTAACGGATTTTCGTGAGTTTCCGCGCTATCAAAAACTCGCCGATTCCTCTACGGAATGGACTGCTGAATGGAAGGCAGCTGCAAATCTCTGCGGATGGCTTCAATCCGCACGAACAACGGAGCATTCACAATCATCCGTATTAGCTTATTTTGTAATCTATCCAGCATGGAGATGTTAGACGGAGCCGCTTGTCCCCAGACGCCTGAAGCATACATGATGACAGGCTAGAACATCGTTTTGTAGATGATAATTTTGTTTTTAAGGCTCATCTTTGATCTTCTGTTGATCGCAGGGTACAGACTAGGTTTTCGGTCCTCGATCCTTGATTTAACGTACATAATGTGCGGGTTCCAGGTAAACTTTCCCGCCCAATACCACGATGGACATTGAATTATATTCGATAGATATTTATTCAAGATACCTCACAGGGGTTAGTCTTGCAGATGTTTCTTTTGTTCATTCAGCAGCAGGACTACGCTGAAATCAATTGAGTAGATCACGTACAGACCGGGATCGAGGTTTTATCTCTCATCAGTACAGGAAAGATCCGACCCGAGGAGCAATGATTCTAAGATAAAGTCTTCAGAATCTGACTCCGTTGGAGTACCCGACATTTCCCGAGGAAGTGAAAGACATACTGAGACGTCTATCCACTCGCAAAG